TATTGATACTATTTGATACTATTCTATTTTAAATTACATAGGTTTTGCTGAATAAAGCGTTATGATAAGTAGTGCTTGCTGGTAAGCTGTTGCCTCTACACTAAGGAAAGCTTGGGGATGTTGTGGTATGAGTACCTTTTAAAATAGTTTTTTTAATTGTTTTTATTCTTTTACCTATTTCTTTATTTTTTGGATCTAGCCTTTGCTGTCAAAAGCTTGTTTATCCACTGTTGTATGCGGAATTTTAGGCGGAAGTGTATAAGTTCTTTATTTTATTTTCTGAGTAAAATTTGAAGCTTTTGATCAGTTACAGCTTTTATAGTTTTGTTGCTTTTTAAACATAAGGTTCGCTTACAGATTATTTTATTACTTTGTTCTCAGTCTTTTAAATTACTATTTTGCTAAAATTGTTGATGGTGTTGACCTAGCGCCCTACTCCACTGTCCCCGAGTTTCTCCCCATTATCTTTTTATTTTGTTTTTGAATTTTCGATTCAGTTTTTGTTTTGTTTCTTTATTTTTTTTTTTCAAGAGGAGCAGTGAGGGGAGGGGGGGAGAGTTTAAGCTGCTTGAATTTTGAGCACGAACAGTATCTGATGTTAAGGTGCGCTTGTTAAGTAAGTAGAGCCTACAATAAAATCGTGATTTATTTTTCTCAGATTCTCACATGTAACCCCCCGCTAGGAATATGAAACAAATTAGAGATGGCTATACTCAGAAACGAGCTAAAGTATAATAAGCAAGATTCGTATCTTGGTTTACTTAGGGACATAGAGGATGTGAGGGAAAAGTATGTAAATGTATACGGGGCTGTAAATAAACGCTAATGGGACTAGGTAAAAAAGTAACATGAAGGCGCTGTTGAGTAAACTGAAAGTCTATACTTTCAGTTTATTCAGTAATGCTTTCATGTAACGAGGAAGTTCAAAAGAAAACGTTTGATATTTATTTTTTTGACAATGGTGTATTAGAGGAGTTATCTCTCAGGGAGTTATTTTTATTTTTACTTTACATTTTAGAAGGTTTGTCACATTTTGCTGTACCACAATAATTTTAAAAAGTTCTCTCACTTTCTCCAGATGCAAGCAATGGTGCGCTTCTGAAGAGCAACGAATAAATTATTTTAATGTGGTAACTCCATTTCGGTAGTGCATAAGACTTTAAAAAATTCGATGGTCACTCATGAAAACCGGTGTTTTCTTTAGTACGGCAGCACTGTAATTTTACGTAGTTGGTAAGTTACGTTTGAGAATTTTTAAAATTTAGTTCAAGGTTTGTTCGTTAAAAATAACAGACGTGAGGTTTTAAGAAACAAGCTTCGAATTTTCTGGATACTGGTAAGCGGTTATTCTTTGCAGTATTTACACAGAAACAATTAGGTCTATTACCATCTTTCCTAAAGGCACATTTGTACTTGTTATGTTTGTATTGTTTATTTCTCTTGAGTTTATTGCTCAGCTTGCTGCAAATTCTCAGTTTTCAGCTCTTAGCACTAGTCGCAGCAGTGCCGGAGTAACCTGTGTGGTTCGTTTAAGCTCGCAATTAAAGCAGTTGGTATTAATATGCTGGAACTTTATTCATTTTGGTGGGTTATTGGCAGTTGAGATCGAGGTTAAATCTGCAGCAACCACAGTCATTTTTAAAAATGTTGTCTGTTCATCAGGAATCATCGTTTGAAATTATGATAATCAGTCTAGGAAAAAGTCGAGGAGATTATAAAGGAGGAAGAAGTAGGGGCAAAGAGTTAAACAAAGGTGCTGAATTATTAATTGAAATGGACAGTACCGCAGTCTTAATTTGGAAGTAACAGGAAGCTCTTGGAACTACATGCGAACTAGACAGTTAGATAAATATTTGTTTCTAAGAGGTTTATACTTTAAAAGTGGTATAGTAAGAATTGGTGTTTCGATCTCAAACCTGGATGAACGGCAAGCGACAAAAGATTTTTCGAAAAGTTTTCATTCATTGCGCATGGATTTTGGTACCGGATTTCAGTAGTTTTTATTCATTG